TCAACTATGCAGCTAGCAGCTTTACCAGTTGCTCTGACCAGTGCAGGTGTCTGACACCATTTCCGACCCTGACGTCCGTCTCGTCGCCCAGAGAAACTAGTAGCCAAACAATTCTCGTAATAGAAGTATCTGCCAAAACTTAAATCGTTCCGAGATGTCAACATGTGTTAACTCTCTTACTCTTTTACTCGAAGAACAGGCGAAATATCTATCGATCTAGCTATTTCAATCAGTCTCTCTATCGGAACGAAAATAACGGATAACGAAATGATCAATCAATCAAGCCAAAAGTAGAAGCACCTTCCGTGTTCACTCTCTATAGGCAAACAATGATAGCAAATGCCAAGAGCAACCACTCGCTGGTAAAGCTGTCGATGGCTCCCTCTTTCGAAAGCTGCTTATAAGCAAGCCAATAGCGAGTTTAACTCCCTCGCATGCACTAGTACCAATTTACCATCAAAACGAATGAACGAATCGTAGAAGGAATACTTGTTCCACTGGCGGAGTCGAACTCGCGACCTACTACTGCAAAACACCAATCAACTCACCTAATGATAACAGGCATTTCATTATCGCGGCCTCCTTTGATGCTAATGCCCAATCCATTACCATCGTGCTTTACAATACGTACGGTTCGTACATCCGCACCCTGGCCCTGGTACGCATCCGAGGGAGCGCTTAGCGTCAGTGCTGTTTCATCAAGAGTTGCGCACACCTTCACCCACTCACCGGCAACGAACACATCCAGGAACGAACCCCTCACTGTTGCCATCCCGTCATACCGGACATCCTGAAAATCATAAAAACATATTTATCCGGGAGAAAATCAAGGCAATCATCCATGATACGCTGTCTACAGAACTCCAGCAATAATGCAACTTAGCAACAATTTAGACCAAAAATCAGTTCAGCTTTGAATGGTTCATTCCAGGCATGGGCAACTTTTGGCGACACGCGGGCTGATTTAAATTCTAACAAAATAATTTAATTTTAATCAAAATCAAAATATTTTTAATCAAAATAATTTTAATCAAATTCATACTAATTACCACAATAGTCGTACTGACGAGGTCCTGTTGTGGTAATGGTAAGAAATGTATACGACTTAATGGACCAAAACATTTCTCACTATTAAAAAAATTTTTCTTTTTTTAAAATTTTATTATTTTATTTACCTTATTACACATTTAAGCTCGTGAGCCATCTTTTAACAAAAGCCAGATAGTAAAAGGAAAGGCTTACCCGGGCAATTATGTATTTTTGCACAAAAACTTGACGCTTTCGTCTAGTTAGGCACCACATTCCGATAGTCTTCGTGGACTGAATTAAAATGGATCGAGGGCCGGATCCAACCCACGGACTGCCGGTTGCCCATATGTGATTCATTCGTTTCGATGGTAAATTGGTATTTTGCACATGCCGGGGAGTCAAAACCGCCATCAGCTTGTTTGTAAGCAGTTCTTGAAAGAGGAAGCCATTAGCAGCCCCGTCAACTGTTGGCAAGTGCTACCACTCCTCGTACTACTTCCAGGTGCCTCCACCTCTTGAGAATGGGGAAAAAAAAGAGGGGATTGCGACTTTTAAATTAATCCATAATTAAATATCTCCATTTACAAACGTATTATTAAATAAGGCCTATAATCATTACAGTAAATAAGGAAATTTATGTTTAATAACTCAAATTTGAGGAGATGAAACGAATGACAGGATCATCGGCAGACTGGCAATTAGGCGATGCAGCACTGGCCAAAGCATCTATGGAATAGAAGAATAGAAGGATTTCACTCGAATGTTATGTGTATGAAGGTATTTTATGACGGAAGTTGAAAAATAATCGACTCCATAGTTAAAAAAACAGACTATGAACTAATACCTGTTCCAAGTTTTTTTTTTTTTTCCAAACACATAGGCATACAAAAAAAAGTATCAATAGTGATGTGTATAAAATATACAAAAAAAAAAAAAAATAATTGGGAATGATTGTTTCAGTCCGTTAATTTGTGTACATTCCTATTCAGCACCATAACTGAAACTGGACCTCATCAGTACAACGGTTTTGGTGTTGACAGGGAGAGGTAATGTCAAATAATATCAATGAAGCTAAGCGACTAATGCAATCTGCCCACAAAAATGCAAAATTATTTAATTGCTCATTTTAAAATTCAGTGATCATTTTGGCATGCAGGAAACAAGGGAACAGTAAATAACGAGAACACGAGGTTATAGGATGCGAAAGGGATAAGCCGATTGTAGCATCCAGGCTGACCCTGGAAGCCTAAATAGCGAAGGTGCGATGGAGTACAGAAAGCAAGAACAGTATGAGGAAAGAAGGTTAGAGTGAGATAAGAAGTGGGGTAAGCTGGCTCGAGAAAAAGCCAAAATAAGTTGGCTTGAGAAAAAGCCATAATTAGGTAAGTTTGCTCGAGAAAAAGCCAAAATAAGATAAGTTGGCTCGAGAAAAAGACAAAATTAGATAAGCTGGCTCCAGAAAAAGCCAAAATTAGCCCGACTTGCATTTGAGAAATTTTCAGGAAAGAAGCGATTTGTTGTTATGTGTTGAAGCATGTAGCAGCAACAACGAAGGGGGGGGGGGG